ACTTTAATCGCGGGCGAGCAGCGAGTATTCAACACGCAGCGAATAAGCGACTAAACCGATTACATTGAGCGACTTTGGTCGCAGCGAGTTAATTCGCCGGCGACTAGCGTGTAAAATCGCTCAGTGTAATCGAGCCTTTATTCATTATATTAAATATCACGATGTGCAGGTGATCGCCATAGCCGTTCGATACTACACTGTTTGAATATGTTATTCCATCGGTATACACATCACCTCTCCGTATAATATATATGTGTAAAATAACACGGTACGTAACATTACCAAACTTGTTCAGGTCAGTATAGTTATAAGGTACGTGGTAATAAATCATAATGAATCAAGTATAAACATAAAGGAATCGTTTTTGGGATTTTTTGTTATTGAAAAACACGGAGCACAAGATTATGAAGAATTAATCACAAATATATTAGTGAAGCTCGATATTGACATAAATAAATGCAGAGGACAGGGGTATGATGGGGCTTCTGTCATGAGTGGTGTATACTCCGGAGTCCAAAAAAGAATAAAAGACAAAGTTCCTACAGCATCATATATTCACTGTTGTGCCCATAACTTGAACTTAGTCGTATCAGATGCAGCTAAAAGCTCTCAAAAAGTTGTATCGTTTTTTTTAAATTGTTGAAGCAGTTTTCAATTTTTTTAGTGCCAGTGCTCCTAGGTGGGCTAACTTAGCATTTGGGAATGACGAAAGTAGAAAAATTAAACTGAAAGTCTTAAAAAAGGTGTGCCCAACCCGATGGGAATCACGACATGAGTCTATAAATGCATTAAAGTTAAGGTTTATAGATATTTTAAAAGCATTAACTAATATATCATTAACTAGTTCTAAAAAAGATGAAAAAGCTACTAGTTTGTCTTTGAAAAAAAAACTAGAATCTATGGAGTTTGTTCTAATTTTATGTTTTTGGGAAAAGATTTTGAGAGCATTACACGGTGTAACCAAATCCCTTCAGAAACAAAATACAAATTTGCACAATGCATGCCAAAACTTAAATGAAGCCAAAACAATTATAGAAAACCTAAGAGATAGCTATGAAAATATACTGTTGGAGTGTAAAGAATTATGTTCCAGATGTGGAATTACTCCAAACTTTCATGTTAAGAGGAGTAGACTTGCTCCACAATATTTTGATGAAATTGATGGTGATCGTCGCCTAAATATAACAGATGAAAATTTCAGGGCTAAAATTTTTCTACCTGTGTTTGATACAGTTATATTTCAACTAAATGCACGATTTCAAGCACTACAAGAAGTTACAGAGAATTTTGATTTCTTATTTCCTACAATGTTAGCTAAAATGGATGAAAATGAGATCTGTAAGGCTTCAATGGACTTTTTTTATTTATACAATGATGACATTTCTTCAGATTTTACCAGACAATTATTGTGTTTAAGAGGATTATTAAACACTAATATTCAAACGATCAAGGATCTGGCTTTATTCATAGTTAAAAATGATTTTTGTACAACATACTGTGATGTAATAACTGCATGCATAATTTATATTTCATTGCCTGTGACAGTTTCAACGGCAGAAAGATCGTTTTCGAAATTAAAATTAATTAAAAACTATTTGAGGAACAGTATGGGACAGGATCGACTTTCTAATATTTCCATTTTAAATATAGAAAGAAATGTAACTAATCAAGTTGATTTGGAAAAAATGATTTCTACGTTTGCCGATTTAAAAACAAGAAAAAAAAATTTTCTTAAGTGAAAATATATTACTTCTAACAATATAGTTTTCATTCTATTATTCTAAATGTATAAAATATTAAAATGTATAGTTTATAAATGACTAGTGTAGTCTTAAAAGTTATAATTTTTATTTGTTTTTATAAGTATATTATGATTTATGTTGTTATTTGGTTAAAGGTAAAACTTTTAATAAATTTATTAACTTAATTTTAATATGTGGTATCGATAATGAATAGTAATTACAACTTACAAGTGTATAAGTTAACATTAAACACATTACCTAATTTTTTCCTTTTTGTAATTTATCATTTTATCGACCAAATTTTGTTCACAATAATAAGCATAAATAATTTTAATTAGGGCCCATTCGTTAAAAGTGACACTGGGGCCCCAGTTAGCCTAGTTGCGCCACTGGTTGTATCATTTTCGCGCTGACAAATGCAACTAAACTATCGTGTCATAGTAGGCGCGTGCACATGATACAACAATTCTTCGGTCGCATCATGGATTTTGTTGAAATAGCTGCAGTAAGTGCTCTCGAGTTAAAAAGAAGAAAGAAAATAAAAAAAAAAAAAAAAGATTGGGTACATCCAATAATTTCACAGCAATTAATGAAAGGATAGTTTTATAAACTTCACAATGAATTACGGTCATACCCGGATAAATTTTTTAATTTTTATCGTATGAGTGTTAAAAGTTTTGATAATCTTCTAAATTTTATACAACCTTTTATCACTTATCAAAATACAATGTGGAGAATGGCGATCCCTCTTGTAGAAAGGCTTTCAGTTACCCTAAGGTAAGAAAATAATGTTTAATTATTAAGAATAATAATGAAATAAAATTTGTATTGATAAGTACAAATGACAAAAAATTCTCACTTTAATAGATTCAGTTTACTTTAAACAAAAAATTTGTATATTAAACAAAAAATTACTTTTACTTAATACTAAATTCGTGGACTGCTAAAAATTATAATGTAGACATATCGTCAAAATCAAACTGGGGCATAGTGGATTCATAACTACTACAACTTTGAACTGGGTTAGGAGTCGACGAGCTAGATGAGTAGTTTCCTGTGTGTAAATTTTGAAAACTGCGCTGTTGATTTTGAAGTGAAAATTGATTTTCAGCTAATTCACGAAATCCGTAGTTTGAACTGGTACCGTGGCCAAGAGGCATATTGTAAGAAGCGTCTGGTCTTGAAAGAGTAATACGTTTTAATGTGGAAAGAAACTACATTTTCGCATTCATTTTTTTGAGTATCCGTCAACTTCTTAAATGCTGACATTAATAATAAAAGAAAAGATTTATCTTCATCGATAACTTCATCCTTCTTTTTCTTTAAAATATTTAACAGAGATTCCTCAACACTTGGATTTTTTTTGCTACTGATTTGCCATGACTTGCTGATTTTTGAGCTTGAAGTGTGTTTATAGGGGAGTAATCAACAGATCTATTTGTCTCTTTTACAACTTCAGAATCGTCTTCACTTCCTGTTTTGTCTTCATTTGTATTACTCGGGCTACACTCCGAGACGGTTGGTCGATCTTCTATTGTGGGAAGGAGGAATCATAACTGATCAAAAAACACGTATTTTCGCCTTTTAGTAGCAGCTTGAACAGATTTTCCATATTTTTGTTTGCTTAGTTCCCTTCTAAAATATGTTCTTAAGTTTCTCCATCTATTCTGCAGTTCTTTTCCTGTGAACAAAATAAAAAAAAAAACAATAAAATGTTGGGTGTTTTTATAAATAACAATATATTTATTTTCATTGTAGTTTTTTCATGAAATATTTCACTACACCCGGAGGATCAATTTCTTGGCAGTATGAAAATATTTGAACAGTTCAAGTTTGAATAGATCATTGTTTAATATTAATAATAATAATATTAATAATTTAATATTAACTAAACTATAATAATAAAATAAAATTTTCAAAGTTTTAAGTATTAATCGTTATTTTATTCTGTTTCATTACCTTTTAACAATTTTTGACTTGAAATCATTTCTTGCCACGTAGGAATCATTGTTTCATATACTTCAGTCCAAAGCCGCAAAACTGAGTTTCGGTCTGAGTGCTCTGGAAGTTTAGTATTATATATTGGAGGTCTACTTTGAACTGCTTGAATAAATCTTTCTACCCAATCACCATCATTTACAAATTCTGGAATAGAAATATTCCAGATATTATCGTGAGGTTGTATTTTTATTTTTATTATATTTATTATATTATATTATATTATATTATATTATATTATATTTCATTATGTTATACCTACAGCGTTTAGTAAATATTTGTTCGTAACAGTGGCGTATCTAGGAATTTTTTTTTGGGGGGGGCTGATCAGTTACAAAAAAAATAATAAATGCAAAATAAGTGATAAAAAAAACTATATTTAAAATTTTTAAACAATAAATTATTATTTCAATCATATTGTTAATTTTAGTCGTCTAGCTTTTCCACTATTCGAAAACTTATCTAGTACCATATCATCAGTAATATCTACATCTCTATGAATTGATAATAGAGCTAATCCTACAAGCCGTGATTCAGATGTTGTGTTTCGAAGATAATTTTTCAATCTCCTTAATGTTGAAAAACTTCTCTCTGCAGTTGCTGTTGAAACAGGAAGTATTGATAGTATCTTAAGAAGCTCATACATATTTGGGTACATTAGTTTATCACATTGATGAAGTGCTTCGATAGCTGTCGATGGCCGAGATTCAACTGAGTTCCATTTCGACTGCCATAATTGATATTCAACTTCTATAATGTCATCATAACCTTTTAAATCATTCTGGTAAAATGTAACTGCCGTTTTAAGATTTGAATATGGCTTATCTACAATCATATTTGGCAAAATGTATTGTAGAGAATTTATTATTTCGTGATGTGATAAAAACCGTTCATTCAATGATAAAAGTATATCATCTAGGTGAGGTATAAAAACTGTTCTCCTATAAAATTCTTTAGTACTTTGAAAAGGAACATTTTGGCGGTTTCTTTGAGTAATGCATATTCGTGGCATACTTTCTTCCACATTTATTAGACTTCCTAAGCGATTGACTTCTTCATAAATCTTATTAAATTCATCAGTTGCATTATCTCTTAATATTTGAAGTTGGATTTTTACCTGATTCACTCTATCAAGGGCATTTACTAAATCAATATTTTTAGTTTGCAAGTATTCTGATAAATGATAAGTATAACTTAATAATTTAGATGATACGCAGACAGAAACTAAAAATTTAAAATTACAGATGGTATTTAATAAGCTAGTTGTTCTGTTTGAAGAATCACAATCTATTTGTTCAAGCGCAGCGACAATAGGTTCTAAAAATTCCTTAAACAGCATAACAGCCTCGTGGCGTAAAACCCACCGAGTTTCGCATAAAGACTTTAATTTGAACGACTGAGCGTTAGGTAGGATCTCTATAATTTTATTTTTTAAAATTGTCGTTCTCTTTGCTGAGGAATGGAAAAAAGTACAACAATCAGAAATAATACTAAATGAATTACGAATAGCTTGTGTTTTGGCAGCATCAGATAAGCAAAGATTCAGGGAATGAGAAACACAGTGAGTGTATAAAGCTTTCGGGTAACTCTTTTTCACAATTGCCTGAACACCACGAAAGTTACCTGACATAGTAGCAGCCCCATCGTAACCTTGTCCACGTAATTTATCCAAATCCAAACCAAGTTCTTTCAATGTATTTAGTAAAACGGTTGCCAAACCAAGACCAGTTACATCATGAACTGGTACAAAAGTAAGAAAATCTTCTCGAAGAACAACCAACTCTTCTTCAAAATACCGAATACAAATTGAAAATTGTTCTATTTGTGCAATATCTGTTGTTTCGTCAGCAAGTACAGAAAAATAATTTGATTTTGAAATTTTTTTAATTATGTCTGATTGAATAAGTTCTCCAAAAATGTTAATAATTTCATTTTGAATAAGTGGACTTGTATACATGGCATTGGAACTACAAGTTTCCAAATATTTTTTTAGCGTATTATCTCCATGTTGTGCACGATGTCTCAAAAGACAACGAAAATTCCCATCATTTTTAATTGGTTCTTTCATTGATATACGACCAGAATCTTGATGCCCCCTTAAACCAAATTGTTGTCTACCGCACAATCGTATAGTCTGAATGATAGGCTTGAGCATATTACGATTTTGTAAAATATCCTCTTTAAGTTGATTATTTAACTGAACCAAAACATTATCTTGTTTATTGTTTAAAATTGCAATAATATTATCGGCATTCAATACAGCAGTGCGGTGATAACTATAACTAGAGTGACATCTAAATGTTTCCAAAGCTTTTTTTTAAGATTTGTATAAGGTTTAGTAACTAATCCACCTAAAGATTCATGAGAACCTTTCCCAACTTGATTTTGGTTGAGAAAAAGAACACAGTACTTACAAATGGCTCCTTCTTTACATTTAGAATATGCTAACCAGTTAAATGTATTAAGCCATTTGATTTGAAATTGTCTTTTAAATTTAGCATGATTTTGCGTTGGAAAAATGAAATTAGGATCAGGTGTCCATACATTATTTAAAATTGAAACCTTTTCTTCATTTGGTAATGAACCAACATAATTTACATAAAGACCAATATCATATTTTGAATTTATCGGTTTTGATAAATCTTTCTGTGGTGATATGTTACTTGTACCTAATAGTAATATAAAATACAATTAATTATTTTATGTTGAACTCTAATTCTAATTTTTAGTATATTTAAAGAACTAATAAGCTTAAATTACTTGAAGAATCTAATGCAGAAGAAATAGGTTCAATCGCTTCAGATAATGCTGCAGTATTGCTTATTTCACAATAATTGTGGTTAATCTAATCAAATTATGCAAAATTTAGCATTACAGCAAATTGAAATAGCATAAGTACACCATAATAAAAATTAAATTAAGCTTTATTTGTGGCATAAAATTAAAAATAACTGCATTTAGTTAGAAAAAAAATATTATATTAGTTTCAGTAATAAGAAAGTACTATCTTAAATAGTGGTTAATGCTAAAGCAATAGTGTAATAATAATAAAAAAAAAAAATTATTATATATTTAAATATTTTTTATTTGAGAATTGTAATTTGAATATTTTTTTTTCAGTTTTTGCATTAATTTTACATAATATAAATTATTATCTGAGTAGATACTTACTGGCTACTAGAATAGTAGTTGAATGTAATAATGTATTTAGATTTGTTAAAATAAGATTTGCAATACAATATGTTCAATAAACATAACAATTCTACAGAATAGTATATAACTTAATATAACATGCAGCATTGCAGATTAAAGCAAAAGCTTTAGATTAGTTAAATGTAAGAATCATTTTCGTTTTTAATACTTACCCAGTAAAAAAATATTTATTACTTTATAAAATTTAATGTTTTATAATACAATTTTTAATGGATTATGAAAATAAATTTTTGTCTCAAATCTCAATCTTTCACAGACTAATTTAATTTACCTTAGCTAAATTAACTGTTTATAGCTATCCCTATAAATTTGAGTTTTATTATAATTTATAAACATAATGTGATTTGTGAATGAGATAATTTTAATTCTTAGAGTACTTACAGATTTAAACTCCATTTTAGATTTTTTGCTGAAGAAGCTATCCAAGTTACCTTGTTTACGTTTTGGTTTTTTATCACTCATTTTTAAAACCGTATGCCAACAATTAATTAAATTTATTTATTAAAAAGCAAAACCTTAAATAAATAAAAAAACCAAAAAAGTAAGGTGTTACAAAAACAAGTGTTACACGCGATAGTCGTTAGTAGTGTTAGTACTCGTTACACGCGATAGTCGTTGTTTAAGAATGATAATATGATAATATTAGGATTATGATAATATCGATACTGATAAGTGATAGGCATGAAGTTATACACATTTTTTGTCTTTGTGATATTGCTTGGTTATGGAAACAGCGTAATTCTATGCCGTATTGCCGTATAATGCCATGTAATATTATGTATTTTATATTATTTTATTAATAATAATTTAAGATTTCCTGAAATTTCGGGGGGGGGGGGGCTGCAGCCCCCTCAGCCCCTCCCCTGGATACGCCACTGGTTCGTAATATGAGAGGTTCTTTTCCAAAACTGCCTACTTCCATTTTCAAATAAAATGAGTTTTACATAGAAATATAAGTAAAAAAAAAAAAACACGATAAATCAAATTGCGTGAATATTTTAATATAATATATATTACATATTTAAATTTATATTTTATTAAAAACCACCTATTTATGTTAATACTTTATTGCAAAATGAACTATTTCCAACGTAATTAATATAGAGCTTAAAATCGTTTTTATATAACATGCCTATTTCCCTATGTTATTGATACCTATAGACAAAATACTTGTTTTTTATCAAAACTGCTGATTTTGTTTTACGAATTTTAAAGAAAGTCATCATTATAATATTGATAACATTTATAATTAAAAATAGTGTAGAAAAGTTTTAATTTACTAGAAAACATTAGGAACGTTTCAAAACATTTTACGTTGTCATGTATTCTATATCTACTGAGATAAGAGGGTTCGAATTGGGATTCCAGTAATATGACGTCTATAAATAACATTTATTAGTACATATGTAAAACGCATACATCGAACACTATATTATAATATTAGTAATATTAATATTGATAGTAATATTAACTTATCATTATAATAGAAGAATAAAATAATAAAAAAAATATTATAAATACTTATTAAATAAGTATTTTTGGGCAAAACAGACAATTTCCATTTTGTTTTTTAACATCTAGTAATAGATTAGTTAGATAGCACTTAGTAAAGTAGTAATTACCTTGTTGCACTCACTTCGCTTGCATTCATGTTTATAGTGTGAACGTCGCAACTGTTTTTGATGGCAAGTGAGATGAGACTAAAGATTACAATCCCAGCCCAATTTCATGATCCTGGGATTACGGGATATTTAGCCATTAATCTCTTGATCCCGGGATTATCCCGAAATTTAATAAGAAGATATTTAAAAGAATTATGCACAATTTTGTTTCATTTAAATATTTGTATTATTATACAAAAGAATAGATATTAGTTAATAAAGTTTATATTAGTTAAATAAGTTTATAAATATACATTGGTTCTAATTATTTTGAAAATATGAACGCAGGAATAGTAGAGCGTCTAAAGTTCCGTCTCCCAGTCTGCTTCTTAGCTTGTTTCCAATATAGGCTGCTGCTGAGAATGCACGTACGGACTCGATACTTGTAGGAGCAATAGACATGAAGTACTTAAATGCTAGCTTTAAGTAATGCCCGCGAGTTCCTCCATTTTCTAATAAATTCATCTCTTTTTTGATTATTTTTATCAAATCAGTTTCTTTTTGTGTTATATGATCGATTGTTCTTTTACTTTTTCCTATTTCAAGCTACAACTTTTCTTTCAATGTCAATTGAGTGAGTGTAATAGATTCACTTTCTGTTTGTTCAAAACAATGTTGTTGTTCTTCATTAGGTATTATTAGGCGTTCATTATAATGTATCCTTTCAATTAATTTTATTACTTGTTTTCTAATAAAATCATTTTTAGGGATTAAAAATATATCTTTCAAATATATAATTTTATCATAGTCATCATGAGGGTTCTGTAAATAACTCAATACGCCAGAGAACTCTGGACGTCGTCGTTTTTTTATACGATCACTCAAGCATTTCCTCATTTTATTAGTAAGTCCTGAATTTTTTTCTGATAATTCCTTGAAAAGAAATTTAAATGCAGCATCAGCAGTGCACAAATTAGAATCACGACGACCAATTGTTTCCACTGTCAATTTAATGGGGGCAAGTGCATCTGTTATCTCAGTAATTAAGTTATAATCAGAATCTTCTAAATTGACTGGATGGTTGAGATCTATAAGCGATTTTTGAATGCTGGTTTTTAAAAGGATAAAACGTTCTAACATAGCAAGAAGACTATTCCATATCGTTTTACAATCCAAGAGTAATTTAATTTCTTTTCCATGCTCTGCTTTAACATATTTTTGAAGTATAGTGTCATTTTTTTGTCGGAGATCTTTTAAAAACATTACGACTTTGCGTATTTTTTTTAATTACCACATTAATATTATATTCATTGGTTAAATCTTGCATATCTTGAATAATATAATTTTGCGGAAGAATATTTATACCTAAATCCGGAAAGTCAAATTCTTCATCGTCATCTCCATTTATATCATTTGCAGTTGATTTATCTCGAATATTTTTTTTATTATAAAGTACATCACAAACAGCTAAATGAATACAATGCGCGAAACATAACTGGTGTTCAGTGTCAACAAGTTTTCCTACTTTTAACATAACATTTGGTCCATCGGTTACATTGCGACAATATTTTCTTCTAATGAAATATCAAATCAACTTAGTCGTTCTTTTAATACACAAATATAGTTTTCAGCTGTCATTGAACCATTAACTCGAATCAGGGTAGGACTAGCCTTTTTAAAGGGCCCAGGAAATCAGTCACCAAAAGGGCCCTCCAAATTATAATAATTTATTAATAGCCAAAACATTTTTTTTTTTTTATTTATTAATATAATTGTTTCAATACACCTGGTATATTTACAATATTACTATTTTACAATTTACAGATTATAATTATTTTATAAAATATAAAATAAAATAACTTTGGTTAGCTATGAGCCTGGATCAGTATCTGAGGTTGAGGTGTCTTCATTGGGATCTAGTAGGATGTCCTGAGGTAGCCGAGGTTTGAGTCACAGATTTGTGGATCTCTTGCCGATTTTGTAGTGACGAGTTCCATCTACTTTGTGGAGTTTTTCATGGAAACTTTTAAATTGTTGTATTATCCATGTAGATAGGTGTGGTAGGCCTGTATCGTTGTGGAGTTGCTTGTTTCTCATAAACCAAGGGGCCTTTAGGGCTATTCTTAAGAATTTATTTTGAAGAGTTTGTAATTTTTTAATTTTTACTTTTGAGGCAGCTGCCCATGCTGGGCATGCATAGGTTACGATAGTTTATTATAGTTTATCCATAGTTTCGATTTTTTATTTAATTATTTATTTGGTTTTAATTAATTTATTTTAATAATGCATATTTTAGTTTAAAGTTTTATAAACCCCTCCCATCAACCTCTAAACATTTCCAACAAGCTTCTATGAGCATATTCATACAAATACAGGTTTATTATATACCTATATTTATATACTATATTATAATTGGTATATATTTTTAACAGGAAATAACATCGAAAAAAAGTGGAAACACATTAAAGATGCGTACTTTCGATCAATTAAAGAAAATAAGCCTAAATCTGGGGATGGGGCGAATAAGAAAAGAAAAAAAAAAATTATGTTTACCACGACTAACTGGGATTTCTTACCAAAACTATTCAACCTAGACAAACCACAAGCTCTTTACATATACAACCACAAACTGCTGATGAATCACTAATACATGATTCTTCGGTTGAACTGCCTGCGCAATATGTAGAATTACGTTCAAATCAAACAAAAAAAAAAAAACACACTAAAAATGTTGAGGATAAAGAAAGAAAAAAAAAAGGAAAAAAAAAAAAAAGAACCCTTTGAAGCATGGTGGTATAAATAATATACCACTTTTTAAAAAAAATCTCCTACTCTTGCATGATGGTATATATTTAATACCACCATCATATCACGTTTAATAAGTTGTAAAATTAACCGGTAGATGGCAGAACCGTCTTAAATTTAAAATGTTGTCGTATAATCTCATTGATTTCCACTTATCATATTTTTGTTTTACAAAAATATGATAATTTAATTATTCCACTATCAATTTTCATGTTTGTCTTGTTAAAATGTTAAGTCATCTTATAAAACATCTAATGAACCTTCCCAAGTTGATATATAATTGTTTGTCCTAAATGCAATTGTTAAAAAGGTCATTCATTGGTGGTATAGTATATATACCACTGTGCAAAAAGTGTATTATATCCATGTTATTTGCTATTGTTGTTATTTTGTTTGTATGCAAAACTAAAATTTTTAATTTAGTGTAATTATGGCATATAAATTGAATGATGAAGATATAGTTGATTGCTTGTTTGATTCTGATGCTGAAATAAGTGATTTACCATCAGATAATAATAGTTTTGTTGATGACTCTGATGTTGATCCTGACTTTTTACCAAGTCCATTAGTAAGTAATAGTCCTTTAGTTATACCTCCTAGTAGCTCAGATAATGATCTAGAAGAAGAAGTACCTATTCCTAGTCAATCTAAGAAAAAAAAATTAACACCTAAATGCAAAAAAAATGTAAAATATGCTAATATTTCTCAACGTTTATCTCATGTTATTTCTAATCAGTCTAATACACATAATGATTTACTTGTTCATAATGATGAATATAATATATTTGAAGAACCACAGTGGGATAAAAATACAGAAGTCTTTACAAATCCAGTGTTTTTGTCAGATTCAAATTTAGCACCTCATATACTCTCATTGGAATCTAAAACGCCTTACAATCTATTTCTAGAAATGTTTCCAGATAGTCTTGTTGATATAATTTTATTTCAAACTAATTTATATGCCCAGCAAGCTCAAAAACCATACACACCAGCTACTAAACAAGAGTTGAAAACTTTTTTAGGTTTAAATATTTTAATGGGGATAAAAAAGGCTACCATCATATAGAGATTACTGGAGTACAGGGCCAGACTTGAATGACCCTTTTATATCTAAGCAAATGACGGTCAATAGATTTGGGTGGTTTTTGTCTAATCTCCATTGTAACGATAGTTCATTAGAACCAAAACGTGGATCACCCAGTTTTGACAAATTATACAAACTTAGGACTGTGATTGAAAAATTAAGTGAAAGTTTTCTAAAATCCAAAAATCTTACTCAAAGTCTTACTCAAAATCTTACAATCGATGAGTCAATGATAAAATTCAAAGGCCGCTCTACTATAAAACAATATATGCCACAAAAACCGATCAAAAGAGGGTACAAGATTTGGATGCTCAATGATAAAACTAAGTATACTTCAAAGTTTCAAGTTTATACTGGAAAAGTTGTAGGTGGTGTGGAAAAGTTATTAGGTGAAAGGATAGTAAATGATCTAATGATTGGTTTAGAAGGAAAAAATCATATTTTATTCATTGACAACTACTTTACAAGTTATCCACTTTTTCAAAATCTAATGAAAAAAAAAATTTATGCATGTGGTACAATTAGGTCAAATAGAAAATACCTCCCTAACTTTTTACCTGACAAAAACTTAAAAAGAGGAAACTTTGATTACTATGTAAGTAATCACAACATAGCAGTTTACAAATGGATGGATAATAAACCTGTTCATATGATATCATCCTTACTCTCACCCAATGAGACTTTTCAAGTAAAAAGAAAACTCAAAGATGGAAATACTACTATGGTCCCCTGTCCAACAGTGCTTATTAGTTACAATAATAATATGAATAATGTTGATGTTTTTGATCAGCTAAAAGCAGCATATGGAATCAACCGAAAAGCTAGAAAATGGTGGCATAGGTTATTTTTTCATTTTCTTGATATGGCTATAGTTAATGCTTTCATACTTTTTAAAGAACTTACTAAAGAAAAGATTTCTATGAAAGACTTTCGAAGGCGGATAGTTAATGGTTTATTAGCTCCAAATCAACTACAACCTCCAAAAAAAAAATAATAGTTCCTGTCTTATTTCCAAACATAAACCACATATTTCTCCTGAAGTTCGATTCTAAAGTTCTGTACATCAGCCCACCCGTGGGACGTTAAGAAAATGTGGACATTGCAGCACAAAAAAAAATCAAAAAAGAACAGAATGGCTGTGTGTAACCTGCAATATACCACTATGTTTAGGGAAAAGTAGAAACTGTTTTGCGTTATTTCACCAAAAATAAATTAGTTTCATTTAATTTATTTTGTTTTATATATTTTTATAACACGTTGTTTTTATTTTATTTAGTAGACAATATTTTCATTTATATTTTGACGAGAAGTCAAATGATTTTAAGTTTCATTTATGATAATTTTTTAATTTTTTGTTGTTTATATTGAAAAGGTTATCATAACTATTCTATTTACCTATATGAAAAAATAAAAAGGTTTATCAATCAATATTAATTGTGTTGATTTATGTTATAATATAAAATAAAGAAAATAAATGTGTAATATGCTTAAATACGTACAATAAAAAAATTATGTTATACCTAATACAAAAGGTGGTACATGCATGGTGGTAAGTATGGTATACCACCTTTTTTTTTAATGAACAATTTAAAAAACTATTTTTTTACTATTTTTTTTATAATATGGTATTGTAAAATAATAGGAAACAGTCACTTAAAGTCAAGAAATCAGAAATAAAAAATCCTGTGCTTCAAATTCATGGAGTACTTGGAAGAAGCAACGAAACAAAAGAGTCAAATTCACATTCAAGAAAAAGATGAACACGAGAACTTTTTTGATTCGTTACTTTCTATTGTAAGACAATTTAATGATGATCAAACTTTAATGTTTAGAGCAGAAGTTATCAAAGTAGTACAAAAAATAAAAAATAGCCCAACCCACTCTTCTGTTCAACATCAACAATTACGACCACGACCACTGCAGCATTTTTATGAATCACCATATACCTACTATAACTATAACTCACCATTTAATGCATCTTCTTCTTTTATCTCATCGCCTCAACTTGTGTACCAACCAAATATAATTGCAGACGATCAGATGTTTACAAATAGCTCAAACACATGACTACATGAGTTAATTTTAATTTAAGAATTACATTTTAAATTTTTTAACATCTATTAATTATTTTATTTCTATATACATGTAATATTCTTATTAAAAAAAGTTTGTTTTATTATTATTTATTATTATTACTATTAGTATTTATCAGGGAGTTCAATATTTATTTTATTTTAAAAATGTTTAATATATATTTCGTACACATTTTACACACACTGTTAAATGTTGTTTTTATGCATTTGTTTAACTTATTCTAAAAAAATTATAAAATAAATTATTAAGCTTACCTTAACGTTACAGCCAATTTTTCAGTTGGAGTAATAGCCTTCCGCATATTTGTATCCATTTTTAAAAGTTTTTCTCCCAAGTACGTAGGTAGATAGCAGCTCATCAAATGCAGAAACAGTCATACGAAAAAAATTAAAAAACTTATCAGGATCTCTACTGAGTCCTTCAAAAACTAAAGTAAACGCACCTTCGGATGGTCGAGAACTAACTAAAGGATGAACCTACATTTTCCTGTTGATCTTTTTTTTCTTTTTTATTAGTAAACGATAACCCAAAAAAAAAATAATGTTTTCATCTGCTATAGTTGACATGTCATCACACACTGAAGAATTTTTGTTCAAATCGATAAGTTGAGAAATATTGTGCGGTAAAATAACGCTCGTGTGTTATTCAATGTTTTTTACCGTGCGGTATATTTTTTTAATGCAGTAAAATGTCGCGTGGTAAAATAACGCTCGTGTGTTGCCAGCCTTCTGGTTTGTATTGTTGGGTTTTATAAATTGCCCAGTAGCAGTAAATTGAACGAATATTTAAATGTTAATAACTAACAAACGGATAACTCAAATAAAATACTGTGAACGTTAAACATATTGTTTTCAATATGTTTCTAAATAGGCTATTTTCAATTTTTTCAAAAACAATTGAATCAAATTTAAAATTTATTATTTTTCCTACTATAAAATAAAAATAAAAAAATTTATATCATACGTGTACTGTGTAGTACAAGCGTCTATTAATTATAAAAAAAAAAAAAAAAAAAAAAATGAAAAAATATTGATTAGATTTCAAGTTATTTCATTTGTCAGAACTTCGTGGGACACTCTATATTTATATAGACAGTAGTTTAATTGAGAGTGGTAGAACCTTTTCTTTTTTTAAATAATATTTTATAATACTAGCTACATCCTCCTGTTTTTTTTCCAATTCAAACACTGAATAGAGTTTAATTAGAATTTAGCATGTCAACCCCTTATTATTTTACCATGTTTTTTTAACTTTCTCCTTACTATAAAAAATAAATTAATTGTAGGTACCTACTACTTAAAAAAAATATAAATTGATTTAAATAATATTTAACTTAAATAAGTAAATCATCAACTAAATTAACTTGTACAAAAAAAAAAAAAATAATAATAAAATATGTATTATTAATGTACTTGATGCTGGAACAAATTTAAGTATATTTTTTTGGTAGTGATAACTGAATTATAATGTCTACTAGAAGAATATAGAGTGTACGCACTAAGAGAAGAAAGATTAGGAATGAAATAAATGTTGTCGAGGAAATGCTTTCAGACTCAAATTCATTGAAATATGAACCGCTAGAAAATGTTTTAGATATAAATAATTCAAATCTTAAGCCTTTGTTTGAATATGATAACCTTACATCTAACTCTAAGAACCAATACAATATCTCAAATGAGTTTCCATCTAATAATTCAATTGATTTGCCATTATCAGTTATCAACACTTCTAATGAGCCAACAGATACGCATACATTTAATAAAGAGAAATTATTCTTAAATCCATTGAAACAATTTTCAGTTCAGGAATTTATAGCTTCTTGGGCATTAAATTATAAAATTCCTCATAATGCAGTCAATGGTTTGTTAAAAGGTTTAAAAATGCATAATTGTTTCAATAATTTACCAATTGATTATCGCACAATTTTAAACACTCCTATTAATAAATCAAAAGAAAATCGAATAGTCAGTCCTGGAGTATATCATCATTTTGGTTTAGAAAGAATAATTAAATTATATGCCCCATCAAATGTACAAGATATTCAAATTGCCATAGGAATTGATGGATTACCAATTTCAAAAAGTAGTAGCTCTCAATTTTGGCCAATATTAGCTTCCATTTTGGTTAAACCACCACTTTTATGATCAGTTTTTATTGTTGGCCTATACTGGGGAATTGAAAAACCAAACGACAGCAATGAATAATTAATTGACTTTGTTACTGAAGCTAAACGTTTAGAAACTGAAGGTATTATATTAAATGGAATTTATATTAAAGTAAATATTACATTATTTTGTTGCGATGCTCCTGCAAAAGCATTTGTTTTAAAAGTGAAAGGTCATACAGGTTTTTATTCATGTACTCGTTGCACTATAGAGGGAGAATATGTATGCAATCGAGTATGTTTTCCTTATTCCCAAATAAAATCAATTGAAAGAAATCATTATGCATATCTGAATACTGAAGATGAAGAATACCAGATTTCAAATCAAATTTCAATTCTTATTGAATTACAAAGTTTTAACTCTGTAACATCTTTTTCACTCGACTACATGCATTTGGTTTGTTTAGGCGTTTGTAAAAAACTTATCAACCTTTGGATTAAAGAACCATTAAATGTCAGACTTCGGTCTTCAAAAATAAATGAGATATCAACTTTATTGTTAGCATTCAATACTTATATTCCGTCCGATTTCTCTAGAAAGAATAGATGTCTTCAAGATGTATGTCGCTGGAAAGCTACTGAATTTCGTTTATTCTTATTATACACTGGACCTGTTGTGTTAAAAACCATTTTGAGTAAAGAAATTTACACAAATTTTATGGTTTTAAGCATTGCAATGTTAATTTTATTAAGTCCTGACCGAAAATTTCTTCTTCAATATGCAAGAGAACTATTGGATTTTTTTGTCAAGAACTTTCAAAATATTTATGGGCAACAATTTGTATCACATAATGTTCATGCCTTTTACACTTATGAGATGATTATGATTTATTTGGTCCACTTGATAACTGTTCAGCATTTGGTTTTGAAAATTATATGAAAGAAATAAAATCTAATATTAGAAAAAATGAAAAACCTTTGGAACAAATTGTAAATAGATATTATGAAAAATATGAAAAAGATGTACTAAATAATTCAAATAATAAACCATTAATGGACAATTAACCAGTTTTGAAACATGCCCATGATAACGGTCCACTGGTTGATGATTTAATAGGTTCACAATATTACACTCTTATATTCAAAAGTTTAACCATCAAAATTAAAAAAGAGAGTGATAGTTTTATAATTACCAAAAATGGAGAAATAGTAAAATGCATGAATTTTAGTCAAAAAGATGCTATTATCATGCTTGTTGGAAAAAAGTTCAACTTTTTATCACCATATTTTGAAGATCCTATCAATTCAACAATCATTAAAATATTTGAAATAAAAAAATTATCTAATCAACTCAAATATTGGGCAATATCTGATATTAAAAAAAAAAAATGATTATATTTTATCATAGAGGGAAAAAAATAGCTATGCCTATTATTCATACAAACATGTAAATAGTAAATAAATTGTAATTGTAAATAAATTTATAAATAGATTAAAATTATATAATTATTGCTTTTTAATAATAAGTAATATAGATATAAATTTTCCAGTATAAATGTATAAATTGTAACTTCAAAATATCAACATATTTTTAATAGTAGGTACATAATTAAATTAAATATTTAAAACTTCATAAATTGAATTGTTTCTTTTTTTTTTTTTATTTAAATGGATGATCAAATAGGCTGGATTGTTGTAGAGTTTGTAGATGATGAAAGTGTAGAAGTGGTACCAAACTGTTGGTTGAAAAATAATACTTGTGCTTGGCCTAAAGCTTCTAAACAAGCAAAGAAATA